AATTAGTAAATAAAACAATAATATATATATATATATATATATATATATATATTACTTAATGTGTTAATTTTCACGTGAATTTGAAATAAAGAACCATACAGTTTTAAATAACCAAAAAATTGCTAAATTCAGATGTGAGACAAATTACTGTACATCACAGTACATCGATCGAAAATTGAAAATCATTGTGATAGGACGTATTTCACTGAGATATTTAGATTATACTAGTTGATATAAAAAATACTAATTGAAATTAGAACATGCGATACAAAGTTCCGTAAGATTTCATGTCTACTTTATTTCTCGTATCATGCAAAGATATTTCCAAAGCAAGATAAAGTAAGAATTGAATATCAGCGCCATCTCTTGAGTAGTTGTGAAAAGAAATATTAATATATAGTATTGAATTTTAATTATTATTCTAGTTTATCTTACCTTTAGAGAGACATTTTCAGTACTCAAAAGATGGCGCTGATTTTAATATTTTTACTACTGTCTGTTCTTCTCTCGTTATTTCTTTTTTTTATCTACACAAAAGTCTAGAAAATTTATATTCAATTTCGATATTTGATTAACTTTATTGTCTTTTTATACATAACCTATTTTAATGAAAAATTTTAATAATATCTATTCTAATTGTTATATATCGTAAGTAATGCCAGAAGTTTTTTGTGAAGTTTTTTATCTCGAAGATTAACCATAAGAACCATAAGAAGAAAGAAAGGAACAAAAAAGGATTAATTTATCATTCGTTTATTAATTTATTTCAAAAAAATATCCATACTACGTGAAATAACATTCTGACAAATGGATGGACGATAGAATGTAAATATAATCTAATGCATTTATGAACAAAGGTAATGAGAACCATAAAAATAATTATCACTGACTATGACTTATTATTTTACAACAGGAAATTATTTAACGTTCTTTAGTATTTAGTTATAGTAACAATTAGTTATGTCGTACTATTATCATTTACAAAGTATATTGAGCAACAAGAATGTATAGCATTTACTTACATTTCGATAAACAGTTAAATCAACAATGAAAATCGCGTTTATACGCGACTAATCGATATTTATGAATTGTTTAAATTCTTAGAAAAATCACTGTACTAATTAGAACACTGTATAACGCGTATTATAAACTTATTGATCGACAGAGATCTATTTATTTTTACCTATTATAGAAAACGAAAAAAATGTCTTTCTTTTCGAATGATTAGTCTAAAATTTCGTGTAAAATTTCAACAAGAGCGCACACATGGCAAAATTTATTTATTCCTCGGTTTTTTTTACGTTTCTTTTGCATCTTCCTAAGGTCCTTCCTCAATCGTAGTAATTTCCATAGAAGGAGGTGAAAGCTGTATCAGAGCTAACACTCGGCGGCAAACTCGTAGCGTCCATCGTTTCCTTTTCGCTGCCAAGGGTCGATGTCCTTACGTCGAGAGTACCACTTACGCCGGACATCCCTGAACTTGTTGCCATTTCCACTTCTCCGTCGGGATGAGACATATGTCTTAAAATGACGTCACTTTAATCCATGGTCAATCGTTCGTTAATTTCTTGTCAGGGCAGTTGGTAAAAAAAGAAGAAAAGTAAAAATAAAGAAATAATATTATCAGAAATTTTGCGATTAAGTTTCGTGGAAATGTTTCTTGAAAAATTAATTTACTTCAAAAAGTCGTCGCGTTGAAAAGAGAAAATAAAAAAGGATATTAACGAAATTGCATAATTATATTCAGAAGAAGTTTTTAGAGCATGAAGTACGTTTCAATTATACATATATTCATTTTTGCTTTTTCTGTAACAAATATATATAGCGTTTAAAAAAATATGAATTGTCGAAGAGTGGTAGATATCATTTAGTGACTTTTGACATTTCATTTTTGATATTTTTCAATTTTTTTTTTATGTTCTCCCTTTTATTCAACTTTTTAAATCAAGTGTACTTTTCGAGATAGATCTATTTGATAATTAAAATAGATCACTTTGAAAAGCATTTTATGAACATTACCTATAATCTGGAGCAGAAGGTTCAGCGTGCTGCCTTCGCGAGTTTGACGCCATTGGTGTTCTCTTTATCGCGTAAATATATATACCCGTCATTGTGAGCGTATAGGAGACGAAATACAATGCGTGAAACTGGAACAGCGTGGAAAAAGTCTTATTAGCATATGTGTATTGTGCGTTATGCTGCTGAAATATACATTTCAATAGACGTAATAACGCGTTGCTCTAAATACATACGAGGAATAAGGATAATGACATTCTCCGTTTATGATGGAAAATATTAAGAATTTATATTTTACACAAAGAAATCAATACCTTGTATTGATGGACCAACATGCCAGCTAAAACGTTGAAAGAATCTGCGGTCAACAATGATAGTTGCAATGCAGTTGCACCAGATTCGTATAGTACGACAGGCACTAACGAGAAAAAGATGAATTGCGTGATGCAATAAACTACCAAGAAAGTGATCACTGGTGTATTAATCCATTGTAATGATTCTATCTTTAAGCTCTCCAATATGGCCCTGGAATTATATCGAACAACTTATGTGATTTTTATATCATTAGTTTTTTTTTTTTTTCAAGAAGAAAGACTTACATTTGCAAACAGCACACTATAGTACCGAAAAAACCAATCATGCCAAGATATTCGATAACATCGACCGTCTTGACTGCTAATTCTTGTATCACCGTTGTTATGGAAAACAATATCACGCCTCCAAGGCACAACATATCACCGACAAGGTGATTCTTTCCTTCGCACGAAAAATTGAAATTAACAAATTTGATAATTAAATTTAGTAATTAATAATTATTATTAATTTCTATGTAGATCTCAACGTTTGATCGTCGAACAATTACCTGCGGAAGGATCTTTATTGTCATCGATTCCTGCCCAAACCAAACATCCCACACCCATCAATGAAACGGAAACGCCGACTATGTGCACCATTCGATATCTCACCCCGAGGATCAAACATGATAATGCCAATGCGACCGGTATAGCGACACAATCGAGCAGCTGAAACAGAATTACTTCCGGTCAGAAACACGGTCAATTCTTCGAATCGTTAAAATTTCAATGCAGAGAACGGATGACGACGACGATGTTCCTTATATTCGCATCGCGTTCGATTAAGAATAGCCAACGAGGGGTGAGTGTGCC